TTGCTGTTTTAAATCTAGATAGAAAACACATACAGACATAGGGGCACATCAACACTTTGGCGAGAAAGAAAACAGAGAAGTATTACAAATGACAAGGGGTCAATACTCAACAGAAGATTCAAATTTGTAAGTAAAATTAAAGATACAATAATAAGTGAGTAAAGAATGAACAGAAAATTCATATTTGAAGCCTCCAACTTTAGGGATTTGTTAAGAAAGCCTTGCCTGCAAAACACAGCTTAACACAAAACCCACACATTAATGATGTGATTCCTTTTCACTTTAAAATTACGTGATTAAGAAAAAAATGAAAAATTGAAACACATAAAATACTTAAATAGACAGATCAATCTGGTTTATTTTATCCCTTAGTTTAACATGTAGGTTTGAAATTTGTGCTGAACTGCTTAAGACTTACGCTGTTAGGTAACTTTGAACTGTCGCAAAAACTTTTGTGGCGATTTTAGGTTAAGCTGACCATGAAAATTCTTCTAACAGTATCTCAAAGTAAAGTAAGTTCAGCCATAGAGAAGTAAAAATCCAACATCTAAGAAGTTTAAAATAAATTTAGGATCATGTGTATGTGCTGCCTGGGATTACTTCTGAAAGGTAGTGGCACTGGATGAGAAAACCGGATAGAAGGATGAAGTTTTGACTAACATGTGAAAAACATACTTTATGAGACAATTACTTATCATGTTAATATCACAATGTTATTATTTAAAAAAATCTTCACATACTGGTCCTTCCACAAGATGTGCAAGCACTTCATCCCACAGCTTCTGGTTTTGACAATCTTCTCTAATGAGACGTTGCTGTTGAGGTGTTAGTTGAAATGCCTCAATTGCTTCTGTTGAATCTGATGCTTTGAATACTTTGGTGGCGCTTGGACAGTCATCTAGATTTATTTTAAAAATGTATCAGCAGACTTACAAGTGGTTCTAAGCAGAACTATGAAACAAGAGAGTTAACTGGCACAAGTAATGTTTAGTAAAAAGATAAACCAATACAAAGCAGCATCTAATTTCCCCTAGAACTGTAATCCAGCACTTTGGGAAGACGAGGCAGGTGAATTACAAGGTCAGGAATTCGAGACCAGCCTGGCCAAGATGGTGAAACCCCGTCTCCACTAAAAATACAGAAATTAGCTGGGTGCAGTAGTGGGCACCTGCAATCTCAGCTACCTGGGAGGCTCAGGCAGGAGAATTGCTTTAACCCGGGAGGCAGCCACTGCCGTGAGCTGAGATCGTGCCATTGTGCTCCATCCAGCCTGGGCAACACAGTGAGATCATCTCAAAAAAAAAAACAAAAAACAAACAAACAAACAAACAATTTCCTCTAGAATTTAGGATACTATATTTTCTGTTACGTGGCTCTGACACTATTAAAATACACAAAAGATCCATGTTCTGCCCCCCAACCAAATCCTTTGCTTTCATTTCTTGTAAGACTCTCAATTTATTTTCTTAATGTTTACCTTTATTAAAAAGCATGTTGGCTGGATGCAGTGGCTCCTATCTGTAATCCCAGCACTTTAGGAGGCTAAGGCAGGAGGATCCCTTCAACCCAAGAGTTCTAGACCAGCCTGGGCAACATGGAGAAACTCCATCTCTACAAAAAATAAAAAATTAGCCAGCTGTGGTGGTGCACAGCTGTGGTCCCAGCTATTCCAGGGGCTGAGGTAGGAGGATCGCTTGAGCCGGGAAGTCAAGGCTACAGTGAACCACCATATTTCCACTGTACTCCAGCCTGGGTGACAGAATGAGACCCTGTCTCCAAAAAAAAAAAAAAAAAAAAAAAAACCAAAAACAAAACAAAAACAACCTATTATGTTATTATGGTTTACATTTGGCAATCATTACCTACCATCTGAAATTGGCCTTTTTTTGGTTCCACTGGGCTGCTTCTTTGACTGTCCTTTAGTCTTCTTCCCTTCTTTATCTGAAGGGTAACCTGCTGGATACTGATGGGGGGGGTACAATGTAGATTTAAGCTTCACAGAGAAGGGGGGTTTAGATCCTGGTGAGAAATTAGAAGGGAGGGGAAGACTACACTTTCCCCAAACTGAAAAACTTTACATAAAAGAAACAGACATTTAAAGGAAAATAATTCAGAGTACAGATAACTGTTAAAATCCCAATTTCAGAGTAAAACATGTAGCTGTGACTGCTAAGAGATTACATTTTATAATACACTGATCTTAAACTTCAGATCTAAGAAAGATAAGTCTTCAGGAGTTGTGATTAGGTAGCTTAAAGGAAAGTAGAATACAGATATGAAGATAAATGACGACCAATCATAGAGCACAACAGATGGAAATCAAATAGATTGGATCACAGGAAATTGTGGAGTCAATCTAAAAAAGTATCAAAACATTAAGGGTTAAACTTCTAATCTCCTAAAGTTAGAGGGAGGAGTTTTTAGAAGACCTAAATCCTCTACCAACTAAGAGTTGGTACTACTAAATCCTCTAGAGTTTAACTACTACAGTTAGCCGTTTAACTCTAGAGTTAAACTACTAAATCCTCTACCAACTAAGAGTTAGACTTGAAGTAACTATTATCTATTAATATAGATAATTTCATTTATCTATTATTCTTATGTTTATGTTTGCCATAAAGCTTATTATCCTTATGTTTCAATGGCTACCTTTTTTGAGGGGCTGAGGTGGGAGAAGCATGCTTTGTAAAACAGTCATGCTTAAAGCACTGTATGTTTCAGGTCTCAGTGACTATTAACTCATCACAGCAGATGGGCTCACATGCTTCTGCTCAGTTTCAAATCTAACCTATCTAGAACAATGTTCTCAAACAAGGGCATCTTAAAAATCTTCTGAAAGTGAATTTAAAAGGGTTTTTAATATTAAAAAGAATTATTTTAGTAGTTGTTTTAGCATCTGATATCTTATTTTCAACAACCAATTCCATGAGTTTAAAAAGACAACAAAAACAGAAACAGGTTTGCCCTAGAAGGCACACTCACCTGCCTGGGTGGTCAGACACTTGCCCACAGTTCAGCCCCTACACATGCAGTGTGGGCAGAGCCAGGGGAAATGACAAAGCTGGCAGTTTTTATGGGAGGCACAACAATGGGAAATGATGGGAGATGAACTCAAACCATGCTCTGAAGTCAGTGTCAGGGACAAATTCTAGGGTATACAGGCCATGAAGGGGAAATGCAGCCATACCATCCACTATGCACACAAAATCAAAGTCTTTATGGGTTAACAGCTGAGCATAGGCAAAGGGAAAAAAAGACAAAGCACTAAAGGTGGTAGCAAGGCAGGGAAGCAGCTTTGCGGGGGAAGAGAGAAAAGGGGTGAGGAAAAGTGAGAAGGGTAGAAAGCAGACCACTCTTATAAAGCCACCTCCCCGCCATTCCCCTACCACAAAGACATCCCCCATGCCCTCTAGGATAAATGTCCTTTTTCAAAGCCTCCTATACCTAAATTTTATGAATCCCTTTCCCTCACACTTCAAGTCATTTCCAACTTGATTTGGAAATATTTTACTTTTAATTAACAAGCCCACCTTTTTCCAAGTACAACCCTTGATCCGATTGCAGTCTGACATTCAGGATGCTACCTTTTCACTTCTTTTCCTGTGTCTATTTGCATGGTCTTATTCCTCACCCCTTATAGTCCACCATCAATTGCTGTGGGTTATATCCAGTGTTAAGGCATGTCGATAGTAGAGATGTATATTTTTATGAACACATAGGCAGCCTAGACAAATGTAATCTAACCTGTAAACGCAGACATAATCTCCTTGACCGTTCTATTCCTTCGGAGGTCCAAGGCGCAGGTTCAACATCATCTCTTCTTAAAAGATAGCGCCAAACCAAGAATCCATGGCTTGATGAAATCTCTGGCCAGTATTTCACCACCTAAATCACAATATTTTGGTACTAGTTTGAGATTTAAAGTTTAGACTTACTCAAGTTATCACATTAGTGGTACCAAAATAATCTTTGCCAGAACTAAATGCAACTTCTGAATATACTGCTTTGCTGTAGGGATAGTAAATAAGTCAAGAATATTCACTAAAACAGTTTTGACCTTAATTTCTATTATAGTACTTCCCATGAGTACATGACTGCTATAAATTTAGTAGAGTAACAAGATTATGCTAATTAACAAAATTCTGTATAGTAAACATGGCAGCAAATTCCTCTTTATTTAAATAAAGAATGCAAATCTAGTATTATAACGTGCTTTGCTTTGAAAATCTATTACAAATAAAATCATTCTGAAAAGATATATAAAAATCAAGTTATACAACAGCCAGTAAGTTAAATGGTTTTATTATAAAGAAAATACACACACACACACACACACACACACACACACACACACACACACACACATAAATCTCAACCCAAAATAAAACTGTGTCCTTAAGAACTCGAAATAAGACTTAAATGTAAAGTACTGAAGTTAAGAGTTTGCTTTGTGCATTTGTTAAATTTCCAGGAAAAGTAGCAATATAAGATGGCTACTGTTTCCTTGAGCCCACCCCCAGTAGTTCTTTGCAGCAACCCTGCCTTGAAAGCCCAGGAAGAATGACAAGATGTCATGCCAGATAGAGCACCTTATAAATGCCATCATATCTGTTGCCTTCTTCAGGAGCATATTTGCTGATCTTCCTCCCTTTAAAACTGCGTATCACTCTGACTGGCTTACCAGCTCTCCAATTCCGAGACTCTGCTCCAATTTTATCATCCAATGGAGCATCACAGTTTAGGGCCAATGCCCTAAAAAACAACAAAAAAGTCTTTATACCACGTAATTTTTCTTCAAGTATACAATCGAGTCATTAGCTCAATTAAAAGGTGAATTATACCTTACCTGATGGTTAAGATTCTATGATTCTTTCCATATTATTCCAGATAATAGGATTATGCTTTCCCCCACCAGCAGAGAAGACAAATCAGTTTTCTGATGTCACCCCCAAGCCAGGGAATTGGTTCTCAGATAGCCTGTAGGGTTCTTCTGAAAGTAATAACATCTGTGCCACGTATAATAGAAAACAACTAGAAATACATGGAATTTTTCTTTAAATAACGTTTGTTGGGGGAAGGGAGAATATTGGAAAACTAAAGCAAATGACTGTTTTAATAGTTATCTTTGATAAGGGTGTGAGGTAAATTGCTGGAATAATGTAGAAAGAAATCCAGAAATATAAATTTGTCAGCAAGGTACAAATGACCTTCCCAGGTCTACTTTCCACATTCCAGACAACAGAGAATCCTTAAAATTTAAAAGACTAAGAACAAGTGCTATATGACAATATTCTTTAAAGGCCTCCATAAAAAGATAAATTTCAGTAAGCCTGAAGCATTCAAATGCCTGTGCTAATGACAATAAAGATTTCTGGCTGCTTGAGATCACTACATTTTACTGACAAGGTCAAAGAGGAACACTGAGTTGGAAGCAGCACCTGACCTAGCTGGAGCTTGCTTAGTATATGCATTCACCCAGTAGTAACAAGTCAGGGAGCTCATTGGATGTTAGAAGACCTTTCTTGGGAGAACCTAGTTGTACCAAAACCTGTATTTAAATTATTTTTAGTATTTTAAAGTAACAGTTTTAGAATCAGTTTAAAATTAGCATTTTCATCTAAGACACCTACTTCTTAAGTGTAAAGAAAACACTGAGGACACTTAAGGTGAAAAAACAAACAAAAAAGAGAACTATACCCAATCTGGTGAAAGCAGATATTAAATAAACTACTACTCCAGGGTATAATTCTTTTTATGCAAGCTCAAGTTAAAAAATAGACCTCAAGACCATGATTAACTTATTGGAAAAAAAAACTTCTTGACCATAGTTATATTTTAATAAGTAAATGAACTTAAAAGTGTTTGTTTTAAAAAGTATATATATATATATATCTGTGGTCAAAGAGTTAAAGCTTACCAAGTTACTTTTTATTTATTTATTTATTTTTTAAATCTAAAATGAAGATGCATTAAAATTCTGGGAGGTAGAAGAAAATACAGTCATCAACTCTAGGATTAGTATTATGTTCTTACTGAATACCTATTGAGGTATTATACATACTTTATCTTAAAGAGCTAGGATTAAGTATTACCTTCCTGTCACTGAATGGAATGCTTTAATGCTCACAGGTACCTTCAGTCATGATTACTGCCATCACTAACTGGCACTGTCAACTCACTTCTGGCTTCAGATAATTAGGCTATTCAAGTATGTGAAGAGAGTCCAAGAAGATGAAACTAGGCAACATAGCAACAAAGCTCCTCCATTAATCTATCTGCAGTTCAACCAGTCAGGTGTCTCTGACTGCCCTGATAAAAGATACCCAGGTTGCCGGGCGCGGTGGCTCAAGCCTGTAATCCCAGCACTTTGGGAGGCCGAGGCAGGTGGATCACAAGGTCAAGAGATCGAGACCATCCTGGTCAACATGGTGAAACCCCGTCTGTACTAAAAATACAAAAAATCAGCTGGGCATGGTGGCACGTGCCTGTAATCCCAGCTACTCAGGAGGCTGAGGCAGGAGAATTGCCTGAACCCAGGAGGCGGAGGTTACGGTGAGCCGAGATCGCGCCATTGCACTCCAGCCTGGGTAACAAGAGCGAAACTCCGTCTCAAATAAAAAAAAAAAAAAAAAAAAAAAAAAAGATACCCAGGTTACTTTGCTGCCCTCTTTAGTTTCTTAAAGTTGGAAAAGCTGGGAAGAAATAGGAATAAACTCAGAAGCAAGAAGGTATTGAATTACCTCTTAGCAAAGAAGCAAAAATGAACTGAACCATACACTACTGGGGAAAGGGCATACCATGGGTCAGAGCAAAGAGCCTTTCACCTCAGTTTTCGTGTTTGCAAGACTTACAGGTACCTTTGCCCAAGCACTTTTACAATCACAAGGCATATTCACAACTTAATGTATAAAGTGACAGACAGAATGTTAAAGTCTCTCTGGTAATTGAATCCTAAATTGTTTCCAGTTGATATTTCATTTTCACTATCTCCTCTTTATAGCAAACATTTATACTGCTTGTCAATTATATTCTAATCAGACTGTAGTGGTACTTATTAGATTGTCCCAAAGAGTGAAAGGAATCTAACATGTACATTACAATGGTGGGTAGTTATGAAGGAAGTTCCTTTCAAGCAAAATTATTAATTATTAAAGGGAAAAATAATTATCAGATTTGACAACTTGAAAGAGTCTGTTTGCAAATTCAAAACACACTTTCATTGACAAAAACACACCAAAATATTTATTTTAAGACATTCTTCTTGAAGGACTACTTTCTTGTTAGAAAAAGGTTAACTAGGGACTAAGCTCCTGTCTCAGGAATGTTTTCACCAGCAAATCTGACCTGTCTCCTCTGCTGGTTCAGTAAAAATAATCCTACCATCAGAAATAATATAGAACACATAAAAACAGAAATTCTATGTAACTTGGTATGCATTAAAGTCTTGAAATCATTCTGGCATATCCTTTACTTCACACAGTAATCAGAAATTAAGGGGACACTACTTAAAATTGAGTGATTTAGACTGAAAGTGAAAAATACTTTTACTCAATTGATCCACAAAATACCCTTAACAATAGGATATGAAAGCTGTTAACTTTATGAAATGTTCATGAAATTTTCAGTATGACAAATTATAGTCTGATTTTTTTTTTTTTTTTTTGCTATCTGGTGGTCTGGGTTACTTATTAATATTGGCATAGAGTGCATTTATAAAATAAAACATTTTGAAATTAATAAACTTTCTGTACCCGTGGTAGCTGAGATGTCATTAGTATTTCTATAGAATAAAGTATTTCTATAGAATAAAGGTCAGCACAAGGTGGCTTTTTGTAATGTCTTAAGGAGATTTAGTTAGAAAAGTTCATTTCTGTGACTAAATGAACATTCCCTTAAACAACACTTAGAAGATATCTTATTAGCAGACATCCTAAAAGTACATTCAGTACAGATCTGATTAAGTGGCCTTATGTTTCATCTAGGTACATAAATGTGGCTCCCAAACATAACATCATTTCACATTTCGGAGTTTACTCTAAAAAGGAAGTTTGTCACTTTAGCTTTGACCAACGGGTAGTAGACAAGCCACCTTATTCTCAATTTCACTTAAATTACACAGGCTCCTTTCTCTCAAAGTTGTCAACATTTTCAAATGTACAGCACATGTATTCAGTAAGACTAGGAATTATGGCATTTAAAAAGTAACAGTATAGGCAAGGTGCGGTGGCTCACGCCTGTAATCCCAGCACTTTGGGAGGCCGAAGTAGGTGGATCACGAGGTCAGGAGTTCAAGACCAGCCTGGCCAAGATGTAAAAACTCCATCTCTACTAAAATTAGAAAAATTAGCCAGACGTGGTAGCAGGCACCTGTAATCCCAGTTACTTGGGAGGTTAAGGCAGGAGAATCACTTGAACCTGGTGGGGGTGGGGAGGGAGGGAGCGCAGAGGTTGCAGTGAGCTGAGATCATGCCACTACACTTCAGCCTGGGTGACAGAGTGAGACTCCATCTCAAAAAGAAAAAAAGTAATAAATAATAAAAAACCAGTATAAAGATATGTTAGGATGCTTAGACACAATTGCATAATCAGGCAATGGAATTTTAATTTCAGATATTTAACTCCCAGTTCTAGATTCTCCTCTGCAATGTAAGTTATAATTTACAGCCCTCTTATGAAACTTTTATACAATGTTCAAATTCTAAACAGTCTTTACAGTAGTACCTGTTCATGTTTGTTAACGTTTGATCAGCTGAAGGTGCGCCAATTCTTTTATTACCAGCAAGATTTTTACCACCACTTCCAGTGTACGTGAACTCATCACCTCGGTCCTGTCAAAGAAGATTTTCTATATTAAGGAACCTAAACCCAAGTATAATTTCACTAATTCTTATTTCAGAGTCAAAACATTTCATTAGGATGTTATAAGTTGACATTTTCTCTCACGGCATCTCTCAAAATAATGCAAAATTTAAATGCAATCTTGTGTGTAGTATACCTTCAAGTTATGTAATTTGACCTAAAGCTTTCACTTTATCACTTTTCAACATCTCCAAACATGGTTAGACTCATGCTATATCCGTAGTCAAATAATCAATAGAATGTTACAAGGTACGTCTTATGGGTTGAAATATTTATTCAATTCAACATTAAAACCTATCAATACTAGCTTGTAGGTTCTTTATAGATAACACCACTTCAATAAAACTCCATAACCCAAATTTCCAACTGACATCTATACCACACCTAAGTGTCCTGTCTCAAATGTCAAATTCTGGCATTGACAATAAGTAAGTACTATAAAGTAAGATTACCTAAAAACTTCTAATTAAATTTTTTTTTCTTTTTTTTTTTAAAGACAGAGTCTTGCTCTGTCACCCAGGCTAAAGTGCAGTGGCGTCATCTTGGCTAATTGTAGCTTCTGCTTCCCAAGTTCAATAGATTTTCCTGCCTCAGCATGCCAAGCAGCTGGGATTACAGGAATGTGCCACCAAACCTGGCTAGTTTTTGTATTTTTAGTAGAAATGGGGTTTCGCATGTTGGTCTTCAACTCCAGGCCTCAAGTGATCCACCTGCCTTGGCCTTCATATTAAAATTCTAACAGTATAGTAAGATCTCTTTATTTCATACTCTGTGGATTCATACCTATCACATTCAGGTAAAATAATCACCTTCCATTAAGAAGAAATTTGGAAAAAATTTGAAAAACTAAAAGTAGTATAAAGTATCTACTAAACGTAAAAAGGCCAAAAGATGTCACGTACATTAGCTCTCCAATTACTTCTGTAGCAATCTAGAAATTTTTATGGATATTACTGTCTCCACCTGATTCACTACTTGAAACAAATTAAGGAACTATAAGTGCACAATTAATTCTACTAACACTAGCAAAATAGTAACTTTTTAATGCAATATTATTTTAATTAGACAACTTAGACAATGAAATTTTCTCTACTTATTATTATAGAGGTCAATTATTTATACTTTGTTTTCCCCTTGGATTAAAAGCCACACACAACTAAAAATATCATGGTCTTAAAGTGTTTTTATTGGCTTGAAACGCTTAAATTTACTTTTGCTTTTTGTTAATCCAATATTACGGTCTACATATTTTTTAAATAAGGTATTAAGAAACATGATCGTTAGTATGTATTCTACGTGAAGGAATTCTAACAAACATGTACATCTAGAACAGTTTAGAATACTCCTTAAAACTGATCAAAACCAGTCTTCCACCCAGTATCTGGACAGACTCCACAATACACATATTCATAACTGTCAACTTTTCAAGTTATTATGGGAGTACCATAAAGAAAAAGCAACAGAAAGTAAAACAGGATAATATAACAAATGTAAGCCAAACAGTATTTTAAACATTTCTGATTACTCTTCAAGCAGCAAATCAAGAAGACATGGCTAAAATTCTGTATCATTAACTCATTTGTACTTTAATCATTACATCAACAAAAACATTAAATTATCAAGAGGGAAAAATTGTCAGACTGTAAGAGCTCTCAACCAATATCATTTCAGACTATTTTTCCTACAGAAAGGCAAGGCAGGGCAACTCATCCGTGGAATCCCAGCACTGTCGGAGGTCAAAGCAGGAGGCTCACTTGAGCCCATGAATTCAAGACCAGCCTGGGCGATGTAGTGAGACCTCGTATCTATGAAAAACTAAAAACAAAATACTTTTCCTACGGAAAAAAAATCAGCCTAAATTTGATGCATCTTCTAGTCAATGATCCATTAAATTGTGACTGCAAGGTAGTAGCCTAAACAAGTTCTGCTGGCTGGGAAGAGCTCACATAAAGCAGCTCTATCTACACAAGGAACACAGTGCTTCCCCAAGTAACTCAGTTCCTCAGGTATTCCCAACCTCTCCTTTGATTTTCTGTTCTTGTGTCAGTTTGCTGAGAATAGTTGGCTCATGGTTTCCAGATTCATCCATGTCCCTACAAAGGATACAAACTCATTGTTTTTTATGGTCGCATAGCATTCAATGTTATATGTGCCACATTTTCTTTGTCCAGTCTAGCATTGATAGGCATTTGGGTTGGTTCCAGGTCTTGTTATTGCAAACAGGACCGCAATGAACATATGTGTGCATGTGTCTTTATAACAGAATCACTTATAATCCTTTGGGTATACACCCAGTAATGGGATTGCTGGGTCAAATGGAATTTCTATTTCTAGATTCTTGAGGAATCGCCATACTGTCATCCATAATGGTTGAACTAATTTACACTCCCACCAACAGAGTTAAAAGTGTTCCTGTTTCTTCACATCCTCTCCAGCATCTGTTGTCTCCAGATTTTTTTTAATGATCTCTATTCTAACTGGCATGAGGTGGTATCTCAATATGGTTTTGATTTACATTTCTCTAATGGCCAGTCATGATGAGCATTTTTTTATGTTTCTTGGCCTCACGTATATCTCTTTTGAAAAGTGTCTGTTCATATCCT